AAGATTTTATGCCGTATGATTATGAGTTCGACCTATGGGAAGAGATTCGAAGGCGTACCCAAGGTGCTAAAGAGAAGGTTGTGACTTATATCGCGGCTATGGAAAATCTTTTCAGGAAATTGGGAAATAGCAAACCCCACGAAGACGAGAGACTCAAACTAATAAGACGCAATATGCTACCACACATACAATCGCAGTTAGTCCTCCAACCTGTACATTCTATTTCGGATCTGGTGAAATTTAGTAGGGCCATTGAAGAAACAGCGCAAAGGGTACAAGGGTTCTGTCCCCCTCCAACAAACTACAGACATCTGTTGGAGCCCGAATTAGCTTATCGAAAACCTATGGGATCGGGACAGATAACGGCTATAGGAAATGAACAATCGAAGGTAAACGTTATGGAGGTCCGAGAAGTGCCTCAGAATACTGATAATCATTATAATTCTCCCTCTACCTCAACAGCTGTTTCCAAATCCTATAATTGTATGGAAACGGGACATAGGTTCAAGAAATGTCCTGAGCCTCTCAAGAGATTCTGTTTTAGATGCGGAAGGGATGGAGTTACCGCAAACGCATGTCCTTCCTGTAAACCAAAAAACATTCAAGGGAGTCAACAGTAGGTCGGATGTTGACTTCCTCAGATCACCCTGCAAATCGATTCGACTCGACCAAAGTAGTTATAGATTACGTTTTATCTCATGCTAAAGACGATTTGAGACCTAACCTCAAAGTAGAAATCTACGGAAAAGAGTTTTTGGCATTATTAGATTCTGGGTGTTCAAAAACTGTTCTTGGTAGACAGGGGTGGGAGTTGCTAAGAACTATATGTTTATTAGAGCCGACGAATCAACATTCGTGCACGGTAGCTAATGGAACAAGCTGTCAGGTAATCGGTAGTGTATTAGTTCCAATTAGACTTCGGGATCGAATTAAAATTTTCGAACTATTAGTGGTGCCAACCCTACCTCATTCGATAATCTTAGGAATCGACTTCTGGCAGAAAATGGGTGTCATTCCCGACCTTTATTCTGGAGTATGGGCTCTCAGATCTGAGCAAAGTTTTTCACTTGACGCAATTCAAGACACAAGTCATCTTACGAGTGAACAGCGGGTCCTATTGAACCAGCTGATTGTCGATATATTTAAGAATATGGGTACTAAATTGGGCTGTACTTCGGTCGTTGAGCACACAATACGTACTAACTCACCCCCTATAAAGCAGCGACACTACCCCCTGTCACCTAATTTGCAAACTCAAGTAAATAAAGAGCTAGAACAAATGCTGGCCGATGACATCATAGAGCCATCATCATCTCCTTGGGCCTCTCCCATAGTACTTGTCAAGAAGCCAGATGGGCGGTATCGTTTTTGTGTTAACTACAAAAGGCTCAACGAGGTCAGTCTTCCTGATGCTTACCCTATTCCCTTTGTCAGTTCTACGTTGGATAAGCTTAGAGACGCGAAATATTTGACCACCCTTGATATAAAGTCTGCATACTGGCAGATACCGGTTGCCAAAGAGAGTCGACCTCTAACTGCATTTGTAGTTCCCACGAGAGGACTCTTCCAGTTCAAAAGAATGCCATTTGGCCTTCACAATGCTCCTGCCACCTGGCAGAGATTTATTGATCGAGTGATAGGGGTGGATCTTGAACAGTTCGTGTTCGTTTATTTAGATGATGTGGTCATCTGCACCCCTTCATTCGATCAACATCTATCAGTCCTGCGGGTCGTGATTGATAGGATCCGATCAGCTGGTTTAACTTTGAATGAAGAAAAATGTCACTTTTGTAAGCCAGAATTAAAGTACCTGGGATACGTAGTTAATTCGGCTGGACTATTGGTAGACCCTGACAAAGTCGAGGTTATCCTTCGTATTCCAACACCTCGAAACGTTTCAGAGGTGAGACGAATTGTTGGCCTAGCGTCGTGGTATCGGCGATTTGTCCCGAATTTTTCAACCTTGACCGCCCCATTAACTGCGTTGCTAAAGAAAAATACTCGATTTGTATGGAACGAATTGTGCAATCGGGCCTTACAGGAAATAAAGAATGACCTAATATCGGCCCCAGTCTTGTCTTGTCCCGATTTCTCTCGCCCATTTTCGGTCCAAACAGACGCATCTGATTTTGGTCTTGGGGCTGTTCTCTCGCAAACCTATGAGGATGGAGAGAGGGTGGTATGCTATCTCAGTCGCTTCCTCACCAAAGCGGAACGTAAATATACTACAACTGAAAAAGAGTGCCTCGCAGTACTTTTTGCTATTGAGAAACTACGTCCTTACCTTGAGGCTTCTAGGTTCACGGTTATAACCGACCACTGGAGTCTCAAATGGTTGTACAATATCAAGGACCCTGTCGGCCGTATAGCGCGCTGGGCGGTTCGCTTGCAGCAGTACGACTTTGAAATAGTACACCGGAAGGGTAAGGAGCATGTGGTGCCGGATGCTCTTTCACGGACTGTTCCGGTGATCGAAACCGTTTCCATCGGCGTCCCAATCTCGGATAACTGGTATATCAAGATGTGTGAGAAAGTTCACCAATTGCCTTCAAAATACCCCTTATGGCGTATGGAGGAAAACAAATTATTCAAACGCAGCGAAAGAAAGTACCCCGAGCTAGAAGCCGAATCATCGGACTGGCTCGAAGTTCTGCCCAAGGAGAAGCGGAATCAAATTATTAGAGATAATCATGATCCCCCTACCTGCGGTCATCTTGGTGTCTTCAAAACTTATGGACGAATATCATCAAGATATTATTGGCCGAAGATGAGGCACGATGTTGCTAGGTATATTGGGAGATGCCAGACATGTCTACAGACAAAACCCTTACAAAAGAAACCGGCTGGTTTGATGTTGAGCAAGACACCTACCATCTCACGCCCCTGGCAGTTATTGAGCTTAGACTTGGTAGGACCTCTTCCTAGGTCCTCTTTGGGATTTGCCTACATATTCTCTATATGTGATTGTTTTAGCAAGTTTTGTTTACTATTTCCATTGAGAACCGCTACTGCGGTAGGAATCACACGCGTGTTCGAAGAACAAGTACTTCTAGTTTTTGGGGCACCAAATCGAGTAATAACAGACAATGGAGTCCAGTTTAAAAGTGAACTATTCACGGGCCTCCTTGCAGAGTATCAGGTTCGACAGTCTCTTACCGCGAACTATCACCCCCAAGCTAACCCAGTGGAACGGATCCACAGGGTTGTGAAGACAATGTTGACGGGCTATGTTGGAGATAATCAACGGACGTGGGACAAATATCTACCTAAAGTCGCTTGGGCCATAAGATCAGCGCGACATGAGGTAACCGGAATGACGCCAAATTTCGTGATGTTTGGCCGCGAACTTGCCATCTCAGGTTCAAACGTTCAAACCGCGGAGGAACCATTTGATTTTGATCGCAGTAAGAATTTGATCGAGCGTAATAAAGCATTGAATAAAGTATTTGGAGAGGTAACTCAGCGATTGTTGAAAGCTTACCAAAATAGTTGTCTGGTATACAATCTACGTAGACGAGATGAACAGTTCACCCTCAACCAACAAGTCTGGAAGCGAAACCATGTTATTTCAGACGCCTCGAAAGACTTCACCTCCAAACTTGCCAGTAGGTATGTGGGTCCATATACCATTAATAAAGTAGTTTCTCCATGGTCGTACGAATTGAAAGATTCAACCGGTAAAACTTGTGGAATTTGGCACGCGAAAGATCTGAAGGCTCATCCTCCTGACGCGTAGGTAGGTAGTTCGCTCTATATGAATTCAGGTCAAGAATCAGGAAATATCTTTTCTTTTCCTTGAGAAAAAAAAAAGATCCTTTCTAAAGTTTTTTTCTTAGATAAAAAACTTTCTTTGAGGAAAGAGGGGTGTGTTACGGGTTTATCGAAACGATACCAAAATCCACGGATACAGCATATAATTACAGTACGGACATGGCTTTGTTATCTCATGTGCAAAGGCAAATTTGGGTCAGCTTCATTACGGTCAATGATTAGAGTGAACTAGGTTTATTTTGCATTGAAGAATCTTTTCCAAATCTCACTCACTAAAGTGCCTATCCGAAATCGAGGAGAATATAATAACAGCCAAGTACTCACAACAGACTTTCTTGCTTACTTACTTATGCCTGGTCGGACGCCTCTGCCTAAATCGATAGCTTGATACCCCCATCGTTATAATCAATATAATTCACCTGAAATAAGTCATCCATCATCAAGATCAACAAATACAGTCTGCAGTATGATTCTCTCTCGTCTCATCCCTATTTTCATCTTGTCAGTATCTATTTACCTTACACCTAACCAAATTTGCAAATATGCTTATTAATCAGTGTCATTCTTCTTCTTTGTCTCAGGTCGTATGCGAGTCTCCTTTTATATTGGATCATGGCTATAAGCCTCGAATGTCCAAGGCACTGTTGTATATTTTATCTTGTGCTCTTACGGGCCACTATTCGTCGTCACAACTACCAGTCGATCAATGATTGAGATGGGGGAACGACCGTAACGTTCTGACTGTGAGAGCCCACCTCAACCAATTTTGACACTGAGGCAAGTACCCGCCGAAAGTGTAGTGTGTGCTCTCTCTAATCTCGGTTTTTGAGGTTCAACCTTACTCTTGACGTAACCTTATCAGAAGCAGGAGCTCCTGATATTTTTCGCAATTTGTGCGGATTTCCAAGTCACAAAAAAGGAATCTGGTTGGGATCAACTTCCTATAATTATATCATTACGTTGACGAATTATCAGGTAATCACCAATTGGTGGATCCATTTTCCAACCACAGAAACCACTTTGCCATCACACGAGGCCACCTTACACCAAAGGTAGGATTACTTACGTAGGATTTTTATCATATCTTTCCCTACAGCCTTGATTATATACAAGGCCCACAGCTACTCTCTCCACTCGCTAAAACTCTTCCTCTACCTATGAGCTTGCATCTTAGACTGCTTAGTATTTTAGGCCTCCTATTTCCTGCATATATACATGCTGTTCGAATCCTACATAGACACTTTAAGGCACGCAGAATTGCCTACCACCACTCCTCCAGGAACCTCCACAGTGAGAGATGAGATCAAGGAAGGAACCCTGTACATGCTGTCTGCTTTAAACCCTCTCAAGTAAGACCTTTCCAATCCTAATTTGAAAGCTTTGGCTGGTGCTTTGCTTTTGGCTATTAATATATATAAAACCACCTGGATTCATTTAGTGAACAGGCTTAGCTGTATATTGTTCCTTAATCATACTCTCAACTTATGTAAGATACCTTATCGCACTGCATAGTAACCATAGTAGGTAGATATTAAATTCTGTGAATCTGCGGTATATATACCTGAAGGGGGTTGAAATTGAATATCTTTTTCGTCCGTGGACGTATACCTACTCAATCATGGACTGAACCCTTATCTGCTTTATCACTACATTCTACACTACTATTGGGTTATTATACTGTTGAAGGAATATATTTTCAGATAAGTAATATAAGTCTGTATTAAACCCCCATGGGAATATTAGAATATTAAGCTAAAGCTATAGTTGGTCTTTTTTTTACTCACAATCCCTCTCCGCTGAGCATAATCTTTTTGTACCACGAAGAAAGTATAAAGTTCGTGGGGAAAACCAGTCTTTATTACCCCCTTGGTCAGAAAAGTAACAAGGTGATGTAATATATCCTTCTACTCTTACTCCCTTAAGAAGGACAAAACCCACGCATTCGTGCTGAGGGGCTTGGACTTTGAGCCTGAGCCCTCTGAGATCATGCAAGAAATGAAAGATGATTACAACATCATGGTCAAGGAAGTCTACAGGCTCAACACAAGGTATAGGCCTCTCTATCTGGTCGTGGTTGACCCGATTGTTACTCTCCGGTTTCTTAGTGATAAAGTAAAGCCATTATTGTCTGTTAGAATCACTTGGGAGCTGAGGAGGAGCAATCGGGCAGTTACTCAGTGCAAGCGCTGTCAGCTGTGGGGTCATGCCACCAGCAATTGTAATAGAGAATTCAAATGCTTAAAATGCGCAGGTGGCCACTCCACGGCTGACTGCAAACTGCCCAATCAAGAACCGGCAAAATGCGCGAACTGTGGGGAAGCCCATCCGGCCAACTACAGTTCGTGCATAAGCTATATAAGAAGATTAGATATAATCAACAAAAACAAAAGCAAACGGCCAGATAGACAGGCTTATGCCCCAGCCTCGCCCCCCAGCACGAACGTGTGGGACAGAAGAAGATAAGAACGAGAGGCCAGGCTGCCCGAGCAGAGAAATGTCGAAGAACATCGAGATGCCCAAGAGAGGAGACCTGAAATGAACTCCAGACGTCCCCCGAGTGCGCAGAGAGGACCAGGTGCAGGCCAAGGAATCGAGGTAATAACGGGCATAGCCTCAGAGGTCGACCTCCTAGAGCAGAAGGTCAATCTCTCAGAGGTCTTTAGGTGCGTGAGGGATAAGAACGCCGCTATCGGTGGTGAAACAAATCCCTGGGAGATTGTGCAAATAGTTACCAGGTTCTCCAAAACTATCGGCAACTATAATATTAATGGTAGAAATCGGCCTTAAGGTATGTATTATTAACATCAACGGCATTAATAGCAAAATGCCGTCGCTCGTTAATTTTGTATATCGCCACAGGTTGGACATTATACTTTTGTCCGAGACCAAGCTCCGTCATGACCAGAACCTCAAACTAAGAGGCTTTACCACGATCAGGGTTGATCGGCCTAATGCAGAAAGATGGGGGGGGGGGTAGCCATTCTAATTAAGAATAATATTCCCCACACCGTGGTCCCGCCAAGACAAAGTTCAATTGAACATGCCGGAGTGAGACTACGGAGTGGGGAGGTTATATTCACAGCGTACAACAGGCCCAGAAATAGATTCACACAACAAGACCTAGAGGCGCTGGTTAGTGCTGGCAATAAGGTGATCATCGGAGGAGATTTCAATGCGAGACATAAGGACTGGGGGAACCAGGCCCAGAACAACCAAAACGGGAGCAGGATGAGGGCATATCTGCAAGAAACCAATGTCAACCTGGACTACCCAAACACTCCCACGCACTATCCCGTCAATGGAATGACACCGACAGTCCTGGACATAGTGCTGTCCAAGAATGTGGTGGACATCTCTGACCTAGAAGTGATAGACGAACTGAGCTCTGACCATCTACCAGTTCTGTTTGAATTTGAAGTGACACCTCCCGAAATTATTAAAAAAATATTCAACTATAAAAGCACGAACTGGCGGATGTTCAGAGCTCACTTGGATCAAAAAACAGTAATAAAAAGTAATATCAAAAAAGAAGAAATCAATAATGAAATGGAAAAAATAATAAGAAACATCACATGGGCTAGAGATGCCACCACGGCATTGGTCAGCATTAACCCCAATGAGGTCGAACTCCCGGAGGCAGTCCTTGAGCTCATCGCCGAAAAGAAAATACTGAGGCGTCGCTGGCAACGGCTAAAGACGCCGGAAGCCAGAGGCGCCTTCAAGAGAGTATGCAACGAAATTGAATTTGAAATACGAGAGCTCAGGAACGCCTCCTGGAAAGCCAAATTGGAGAGTCTAGACCCTCGTGACAATACTCTATGGAAAATGTCAAAAAGATTAAAAAAGCAATATACACCCATACCCACCCTGGAGTATGGTCACGAGGAAGCGGTGTCAGATCCGGAGAAGGCGATAGTGCTTGGGAAGCATTTCCAAAAAATTAGTAAAATCAATAAAAACCCAACTTGTGCAGTCCAGGAAGACATGGCGGCAACAGCAGCTCGCATTAGAGCACTTCCCAACATCCCGCTCCCGAGACAAGCCCTGAGTAAAACTATAACATCTCCAAAAGAAATAAGCGAAATCGTAAGATACCTAAACATCAATAAAGCACCAGGGCTTGACGGTCTGGACATGGTTCTCCTAAAAAATATGTCTCGCAAAGCAATAGTGCAACTCCACTACGTGATTAGTGCGATCATCAAATGCCAGCACTACCCAGAATGCCTCAAAACTGGGCTTGTTGTACCAATACCTAAACCTGGAAAAGACCCCAAATCCACAAATGGCTACCGCCCCATATCGCTGCTTAGCGCGGTGGCCAAGATCGTGGATAGAGTTCTCTTACGGATTATCTCACACCACACAGATGAGCTCGCACTCATACCCCATGAACAGTTCGGGTTCCGCAAAGGACACAGTACTGTATCTCAACAACGATAAAAACACGGTGATGGTCATGATGAACATTGAAAAGGCCTTTGACACTGTCTGGCACGAAGGTCTAATGTCCAAGTTGTACAAGGCTAGAATGCCGATATTTATCATTAAGCTTATTGATGCATATATCACCGACAGGAAAATCCGGGTTAAGGTCAACGAAAGTATATCGGGAGATTTTCCACTCGAGGCAGGTGTTCCGCAGGGGTCATGCCTCTCACATCTGTTGTATACCCTATACACGCATGATTTCCCTGTATTCGAGCGGACGAGTACGGCATTGTATGCCGACGACACGGCTTTATAAACCCACTCGGACGACTCGAATATCGCCAGAGCACAGATTCAGATTCATCTGGACAGGGGAATCATACCGTACTTTGACGAGTCGAAGATCCGCATCAACAGTGCGAAAACGGAAGTTATCAATTTCCACCGAAAAGTTAATAACTCTACGTTGAGCAGACCTTTAACCGTCAAAGGGGTTCAGGTGAGAGACATCACCCCCGTGAAATACCTGGGAGTCAAGTTGGACACCCGTATGTCATTCTGGAAAAACACTAACTACCTGATCCAAAAGACACAAAATGCCATCAAGAAAATGTATCCCTGGATATCCAGGACCTCCCCTCTCTCGTTGGAGAACAAGGTCCTGGTATACAAGCAAATCATCAGGCCTGTAATGACATATGCGTGTCCGGTGTTCTGCAGCATCCCACCTACCCATATGAATAGGTTGCAGGTGCTGCAGAACAAAGTACTCCGTATTATCACCAACGGTGATAGATACTCACGAGTGGCAGATCTCCACGAGAGATGTGGTAATTTGCCTAGAGTCAGTGACTATATCCGGAAAATTTCCAACAAATTCTACAAATACCACATCGCTGGAAGTGACCTTACCCGGAATATGACCACAACGAGAAAGCATCACAACATCCGCAAAAAACATGGGCTGATATATGCATCAACCGATGTTTTTGAGGAGCCAGATAATCTGTAGTCGGGACCCCCCCACAGCCCAACAACATCTACAGGGCTCTGAGGAGGGCCCGGACTGCACAACCCCCCACCAAAAAAAAAAAAAAAAAAACGCAAATAAAATAGTGTCAATGCCACTCAAGGAGTGACAAACTGACACTGAACTCGGTCAGACATGCGGACGCTCCTGGGCCTGATGACTGGCCTCACAGCCAGAGTCGGGTGCAGGGTGTGGGTAGGTCTGGCCGAGACAAATCAGAAGACAAGAGTCTCGAGATCATACCCGTGTGTTCACCGAACACGCTCGATCGTTACCTAAGCGGTGGGGAGACCGAGAGTACCGAGACGTAAGCAGGCAGTCATGATACAATGAGTGGGCAGGCAGCTTCTCTCATGCTGTCTTTGTTTTTGTAGTACGGGGTGGGCCACCAACAGTTTTCTTGATCACATTTCGACATTTTTTTTTTCGGATAAATAAGAAACATTTGATAGGCATCAAATGATCTACTGCGACCTATCAGATAATGAAAGCGATGATTTGATTTGCAATAATTCGCTATGTCACGACGAGTCCTACATGTAAATAGCGAACCACTCATCGAAAATCATGATACTATATGTACATATTATATGCTTATTATGTTTTGTTGGCGAGGACGCTCGTTTTATTCAAATTATTCTCGATAATAATGTTCATCTGCTTCACTAGAAATCATTATTAGTAGTTATGTAGTACTTAGTAGTATAGTAGTAGCAGCTTTGTTATTCAAAATGGAACACCTTATATTTTATTACATTTTTCGATTCTTCTAATTGAGCTATGATTTCGTTGATCAAGCTCAAGGTATATATACCTATACGTAGAATGTGAAAAATCGAGAATTTTTTTGTATCGAAACTATACAATACCTATATTGATTTGTCAAAATGGCTTACATGAGTCCCTATCCTAACATTCTATTTATTATCTACTGATGCCATTTAATTGAAACAAATACAGGGT